GATTCATGTTTGTGGCTGTAATGTGACAAAATGTGGGAAAGTCCAAGGGGGCCGAATACTTTTGCATGCCACTGTAACTAACTGATTTAGGGAAAGCTGAACAAAGAGTGACTTTTTTTTCGAACTTGCAAAGGGAACCCACTGACAACATTAGGAAAATTATTCTGTAGTATTTTCACTTGTTTCACTGGCAGATTTTTTTCACTTAATACAAGATATTTTAGCTTTAAGATTCACTGTCCTGAAACAAGTTCCTTTAGCCTACTGAAATGTTGCACTTTAGCTGATTGTGTTCTCTTTTATGTGTAATGAAATAATTTTGACTCAAAAATAAGACAAATATACTTGGCAAGATTTTGAGTTTCTGCAGTGTTCAAGAGGCTGGTGAAGGTTGTGAGTCTTTGCAAGGCAGTTTCCTCTGGTATGCACAGCTTGCTGTACTTCTTAGGCACTTTTATTATTGCACCTTTTTGCAGCTTCGGTAGTTGGCTAACCTCCCTCCGTACCACCTTGATTTTGGCCTTGTCGATCCAGACAATGTCCGAGCCGGTAGACTTTAGCCACTCGAAATCATCAGCAGTTTGATCCACGTATGAACTGAAGTGTATTTGTGAAAATGTTGGACTGTTTCTTTATCAGTGTCTACAGTGGAGATATCAAAGATAGGCACGGCTGTGGCACTGATTCAGTCTTTGAGCACTACGGTCACCCTGGTGTGTCGGCCAGAACACCACTTAAGGCCAAATTGTCCCAGAGTATGACAGAAGAAGGGAGCTTGAGGTACCGTTTGAGACACTTTATTGTCCCCACTCAATTTCTGGGGCTGTAAACACAGCCCATATGTGTGTGGTTTTCTACAAAGGAAATAAACAATACAAATAAAAGATAAATAAAGAGAATAGAGAAGTAAAATACTCAAATATAGACATAATACAATATAGTTAATATAATCCTATATATAGATCAGAACAATTTATTCCACTTCAAACTGCTCACACTATGCAATTAAACTGCATTAGTGCGAGGTTAAGTTACCGTGGGGACATAGGAACTACTTCCGGCAGTTGTACAAAATAAAAGCGTTAAATAAGAAAAATGAATAAAAGCCCATTATAATCACCCGTAATGCTCTTAATGTGAACGGTAAGCGGGAACGCGATTCTTCCGGTCAAACTACAATCGCTATTTTATTAATCCTCGTACCTAATTGTACACAGAAGGTCTGATAACGCAGGAATGACATTATGGACATTACGAGCGACCGTACATGCATCAACAAAGCTAAACCGGGATAAGCTAACAACATAAATTAGCATATGAAATGAGGGTGAACTCACGCGTTGCATGCGTGGCCTACCGCTCCAACTATGGACTACATTAGCTCCTAAATGGTAACATACTACAGTACTGACACAAACAAAGGCAAAATAGAACACAGGCCAAAACTCACTTGTCATTCACGCACACATAACATCCCCCTGGAATCAGTGCACCTAGGGTTGCCAACTCCCTGAAAAATAAATAAGGGACACCTCGTGGTCCGGGCAACCCAGTTGTCTTCACCCTTCCCAGTGTGGTGAATTTTGTAGCTCTTTTTTGTATGTGTGAAATTATTTCTTTAACCATTTGACTTGAATTTAATTTAAGTAGATGCATATTCTTTGTGATATGAACACATGGGAAACAAATGAACATTAAGCCATTTATTTTTAGCTCAACATGACAACATTAACACAATAAAACAGGTATCTTACTTAAACAGAAGCCTGTCATGCTTAACTTTTGAGAATATAAGTAAATCTTTCTTTAAAAGAACTCTGTCCTTTATATAACTTAAAATTATATAAATTAATAGAAAACAATAGAACGAAAAACATTCTTGTAACAGTGCATATAGTGCTTTTAGTACAATTGGCTTCAGTTGAGGCATTATTTCAGCTTTTCTAATGCTAATCAGCTTCTACCATTTGTAAACCTGCTTGTTCCCATGATTACGCATCATAACTCATCAAATAAATTATATTACCACACTTCTGGCCACATAGCGCTGATATTCACTGCACATGCCCATTTTAACCTTAACCAGAGGGTTTAAAAAAACAAACCAGTGTTTACATACCATATCTGCTTCTGCCGTGGCCTGGTGGACGAAAAATTGGTTAAGGGTTCCCCGAGCTTTCACGCCCCTCATGTTCTTCATGTGCCCACCATTAGAAGCACGC